TTGCTGGACCTCCCGAACGGTGGAGGGTGGTTGCATGTCCAGAATCGCTTTTACTTTGGCCGGGTTGGGCTCAATTCCTCTCTTGGTCATCATGTAGCCAAGGAACTTGCCGGTCTGAACCGCGAATGTGCACTTGGTCGGGTTCAGCCGCAACTGGTACTTCCTCATGATCTGGAAGCACTCCCGGAGGTCTCGAGTGTGGTCGGATCGGTCCCGACTCTTGACCAGCATATCATCAATATAAGCCTCCATCGTCCGGCCCAATAGATCGGCGAAGAGCATATTGACCATCCTCTGGTAGGTCGCTCCTGCATTTCGGAGGCCGAACGGCATCACTCGATAGCAATACAACCCGTCCGGGGTCACGAAGGCTGTTTTGCTCTCGTCTTCATGGTGCATCATGATCTGATGATACCCCTTGAAGGCATCCATGAAGCTCATCAACTCGGCCCCGGCCGTCTCGTCGACCATCTGGTGAATGCTCGGTAGTGGATACGGGTCGAGCGGACAGGCCTTGTTGAGGTCCGTGAAATCTATGCACATCCTCCAAGCTGGGGGCTTTGGAACAAGAACGATATTGGCCACCCACTCGGGGTAAATGACCGGACGGATGTGCTCGATCGCCGCCATTTTCTTGACCTCTTCTCTGACAAACTCGCGGCGATCGGAAGATAAGTGTCGTGTCCTCTGCACGACCGGCTTGGCTGCGGGATCGACGGCTAGCTTATGGAAAATGACCGATCGATCGATCCCGGGCATGTCCTCGGGTCCCCATGCAAAAATATCAGCATACTCCCGGAGTATGCCCAGAACCTCTGCTCGGAGCCCAGGGGTGAGGGCCCGGCCAATTTTAATCTTCCTATCCGGGCGGTCCTCGGATAGGGGAACTTCTTCTATCTCTTCGGAAGGTTCGGGTTGCTCTTTCCGTTCTTTAGCCTCCTCTTTGGCTATAGTGTTCACCCGGGAAGACGGACCGGAATCGCGTCTGTTGACCGCTCGGGTGTAGCACTTCCGGGCGGACTGGACATCGCCACGGACCACACCGACCCCATTGGGGGTGGGGAATTTCATGCACAGGTGGGGCATAGAAATTATCCCACCGATCTTCATAATGGCGGGTCGGCCCAAGATTATGTTGTGGACACAATGGAGGTTGACCACAACAAACTCCAGCTCCGTCTTGATCGACTTTGGAGGCGTGCCGATCTCTACGGGGAGCGTTATCTTTCCCTCAGGGTAGATTAAGGCCCCGGTAAATCCCGATAGTGGTACACCGACCGGAGTCAGCTCCTTCCTGTCAAGGCCCAGCTTCTCGAAGACGTCCAAGTAAAGGACGTTCACACTACTGCCCGTGTCCACCATAACCCTTTGGACATCCGTCCCCTTGACATCGATCGTGACCACCAGCGCCTCCATGCCGTGGTCGCTGCTGCTAGGTTGGTCCTCAAGGGTGAAGGTTATGGGCTCCATCCTCTGTCTTTTCCCGGTCTCCCGAGAATCTACGATCGCGACCGGGCAGTTCGTCCTCGATCGAGATGCATCTTCTAGCCCGCCAAATATGACATGGATGGTGGGCTTGCCGGATGGTCGGCTGCCAGATGGGGGGTCAAGGTCCCGTCGGTCATCGTGACGATCGTCCCTTCGATCGTCTCTTCGGTCCTGACCCGACCGATCAGAGCGGTGGTGAGATCGCCTGTGATCCCTCCGATCGGTATTTCTCTTGCTATCCTCTCTCTTCCCTACGCACTTGTCCAATTTTCCCAAATTGAGCAAATCTTCCAGCAATTGGCGCAAGTGGGTACACTCCTCGGTGTCATGCCCGGCGCATCGATGGTAAGCACAATGCTTACTCTTATCAGGGCCGTCTCGATCGGGATGGGGGAGTTTGATGAGATTGCAGGACTGGGCGTACTGCATGGCCTCCGCGGCGTATCGGTTTAAGGCCGTAAACTCGCCGTGCCTGGTGCGGGGTCGGGGATTGTCATCTCCCGATCGGTGTTCCGCCCGGCCGGCCGGTTTACGGGACGAGGAGCCGACCTCCTGCAAGCGCTTGACGGCGTTCGCCTCGCCGGCGTTAGCATAATCAGTGACCCTTCGGAGGGCCTCCTCATATGTGGTCGGGGGGTGAAGGATAAAATCCTGATACAGATACCCCGCCCGGAGGGAAATGTGAAGCATGTGAGTGGCGGTCGCATCATCCATGGGCTCGACCTCTCCGACCGCTGCTTTCCACTTGATGAGGAAGTCGGTCAAGCTTTCCCCTTCGAGCTGCCTGGCCTTTTCGAGGTACATATAGGACTTCCTCACCACTTTGGAAGTAATGAACTTCCGTACAAACTTGATCGCCAGGGTCTCAAATTTGTCGATTGACCCCGGCTGCAGGGTTCGGAACCATTCTGCCGCCCGACCGTTAAGCGTTGAGTAGAAGGCCCTGCACATCACGGCGTCTGAAGCGCCCTTCAGCATCATATTGCTGAAAAAATCATTCACGTGAGCCTCCGGGTCTGTCCGACCGTCGTAACTCTTCTCTCCCGAGACCTTTAAGTCGAGCGGGTAAGGCTGAGCCATTACCGCTGCTGTGAAAGGCGTCTGGTGGAGGGTCGATCGGTCGGTCGGGGGTGCTGTAGGATATGCACTCCTGAGCTGCGCAACTTCCGCCTGGAGGTTGTAAAGCAATCCTCGGGTTTCGTTGAGCTCGGCGTTCTGGGCGGCTTGGGCTGTATCCCGAGCGCGTCGCCGTCGGTGAGATCTCGACCCGCTGTGCCCAGACGAAGCCTCCTGGCTGGCTTCCTGCATCTGCGCGTCTTCTAACCGGCGATCTGGATCTTGGGGTCCCAGTCTCTGCCGCATTTCCGGTCGAAGACGGTCAAAAGCTACCGCTCGGGCAACTTCCTCAGGATCCTCCGCTCGGGCAGGAGCTTCCCCTTCTTGCTGGGCCTGCGACGCCTCCATCGCAACAGCACCCCCCGACCCCAACCGCGAACGAGCCGAGCGTCGAGCCCGGGAAGTGGGCTGATGCTGCGGCTCTACCTGAGCGGCCGGGTATACTGGAGGGGCGGCGGCTGGAGCCGTGTACGCAGGTGTGTACGGCGCGTAACCGACCGGTGATGTGTAATATACCGGTTGGCCTGGCCAATACCCGTATGGTTGGGGTGGGACCGGGTATGGATACTGACCGGGATAGACCATCTGAGGCATCGGTTGCTGATATTGCTGACCGGGCTGCTGGTACCCCGGTTGGATGTACTGCACCGGCTATTGGGCAGCCGGGTATGCATTCGGTGGATGCGGTGGCGAGAGGTTGAGGTTGAGGTCGACCGTTTGACCTTGCTGTTGGGTAGCATGGTGGTCGGATGAGCTCGCCGCATCCGCCTGGTCGTCAGCAAAGTTGTTGCGTGCCCACGGATACATGATTGGTGAAGAGACCGGGTGCTCGTCCAGACGTTGGCTTGTTGCACGGGTCCCCACAGACGGCGCCAAAATGATACTGCTAATTCTACGTAAGCAATATAAATAACACAAGACCAAGTAAAGCAAGTAAGTCTTTATTGATCAAGGTAGAGTTCCTAAGTACAATCTACTTGGTTGCTCTGAGTACCGACTGACTGCGGTCGGGAGTCTCTAATAACAACCTATCGATCGTCCAAAAGTCCCCTACACTGTAGCTACTGTGGGCATTTATAGCCGCTGTGCCGGAGACAAGATCCCCGCTGCTCGGCATGTCTTCCACGTAGCCACCACGTGCCATCCTCCTGGATGCCCTGCCTGTCGATGTAAAGAGCCGCCACGTGTCTTTAGTCAGCTCTCTCGCCGAAGGACTACCGCTCGGGGTTGACACCATCGCTCGGGCACCTCCCGGCCATTCCCGACCGGGGTCTTCATGGAAAAAGCCCGACCTGCCACCTGCAAAGATCATAAGAGAGAGACAGGCTACTCGGTCGTGGTGGAGCTTATGTCGGTCGGGATATTCCCTACCAAATACATTTGGTACATTCAAAATAGTATGAATATAAAAGCTAAATATTTAAAATAACTTATTATACTAAAAGAAATTTTTTAAACGTCGTCTAGATGATTAAGTTAACTAATTAATTAAAACAATAAACCAACGAAAGTTTATCTTGCCTCTATGGCTCTATCTTTCCAATCTATGAAACATATGAATAATGAATTGGTAAAGAGCAAATTTAAGTATGTCTCATGTAACATCTTGCCATGATTGGTGCAAGATTGGTTATGGCCTTAATAGCCATTAAAGAGTGCTAATGGTAACAGTTGTAACGGTTACCGTTACAACTGTTACAAAGCCTATATTGATGGTTAGATAGGCTATATAAGTGAGATCCTCCCACTACTCAAGTACGGTCAATATACTGACAAAATATACACCATCCTATTATACTTGAGACAAGTGGGAGTCACTCTGCCCAAATCACTGCAGAAATTCAACTAAGACATTATACAACAACACAAGGCAAAACAAGCAAACAACTATGGTTGGAGGTTAGTCCTTATTATCACATATCTCTATCTATATTAAAGCAAAACAAAGGGATCAAAAAAATCCCGCCCAAATGAAACGGCAACGTTTTGACAAAGGCGGATAATTTATTGTTAAAGTTTCGAAAAACCAAAGGTCCCCTATTGAGTATAATAACTACAGTTTATATAAAACCTATTTTTTTAAATACATTTACGGCTGATCACTCTCCCATCCAATTGGATTGGAGAATGTATTTAATCCATACATAATCTCTAGGAATTTATTATGGGATATATGGGAGATTGAGCCCACGAACCCATGCATATTCTCTAGGTATTTACTAGCTGTTTATTTCGAAGGAAATATAACGAAAGGTCATCAGACCTTATATATACATCACATACTCCATATACAAAGCTACTCAACTCAATACATTCGAAATTTCCATAGATAGAGATACTCTCTGATTCTTCTTCCCTTCTACAAAATGTTTGTACTTGCGAGCCAAATATCTCCAATGAATACCAGGCAGGCTCTTAGGCTAAGGGTGGTCCGAGCATATCAGATTCATGAGAGGAATGATCCATCGAAGATTAGATCAAAAGAAATTGTTTTCCATGATGAAGAGGTAAGGAACATTTAACATTAGATAGAGATAAGCAGTCCAGATTATCTATAATAGTTTTTTAAATAGCCTTACATACAGTCTTTTTACATTTACAGTGATGCATATGTTAATCTATGTTATCTATACACCTAGATTAGATATATATTTACAGTCCTATTTTTGTTATTTACAAACACACAGGGTTCCTTCTTGCATGCTCATGTACCCAAGGAGTATGTTGAAAAGTATCTTGACTGTTTTTCAGAAGGTTCAGTGTATGCTATAAAAAATTTTTGTGTGATCACAAACTTTTACTCATACAAAACCAGCCCACAGAAGTACATGATAAAATTTAACTATCAGACTATGGTTAAGGATTTAAAGCATGTGAAGTTTCCTATGAAAATGTATCGGCTGAAGACCTTTAAAGAGATCAAGTCTATTGAAGGCCTTGATGAGAAACACCTATTTGGTAATCTGTTATCTCATTCATTCTATCCTTTCCAAATAATTAATAATTTTACTATTATTATATCATCTAATCCATTGTTTTGTAGATGTTATTGGTCGAGTTATTGAAATACACTGCCCAGAGGAAAAATTAATTAATGGGAAGAACTCCAGGCTGATTGACTTCACTCTTGAAGACCCCGAGTAATACTGAAAATCACTCCCTTTCTATCATTTGTTATTAATGCTGTTTTTCTAATATATTATCAATAAATTTGTAGTGGAATACAACTAATGTGTACTTTGTGGGATGAACACGTAAGCAAGATTGAGGCATTCTACAATTCTACTTCACAAGAACCATTGTTGGTCTTGGTACAGTTCTGTAGGGCAAGGGTGTGTTTAAAAAGTAAGTACTTACTTCTGTAACTATCTTATATTATCAATTACATCTTAAAAAGTCTTCTTAAAACATCTTTATAGCGTAATGTGTATTAATACTATTTTCTAAAAGGTGGTGATGTCAAGATTTGTAGCTCCTATGATGTAACACAGCTGCTTTTCAACCAAGAATCTCTCCCCTTTGAGGAGTTCAGGAAGAGGTTAGTCAATTAACATTATTTCACTACTATCAGTTACATTTATAGTCCATTCTTATCTGTAATTCTTATTTTATGTTCTGTATTACCTATATTTTACAGGACGAGTCATGAACAGACACCAATGCGCAATATTATATCGCAATCAAGTTTTAAGGAATGTAGCTCATATTCAGTTGCACTATCTGGTGATATGGAAGTGCGTACTATCAGTGAGATCTACAGAGACAAGGAGGTAGTATTTACATAAATTTAAACTTACATCAATGCTTGCATCTTCACATTTGGAAAAACTGTCCTTTCTGAATGTCATTGCTGAACTACTCGGTATACTGGGAACTACAATCTGTAGTCTTTTGCCTGCATTTCATATTTTGGATCAGATAAAGCAAAACAAATTGTGGAATGTGATAAAGTTTTATAGAGCCTAACATTGATTACTTATATAATTTAATAATTTGGTACCACTATTTGTTGTGGCAGTCCTGTTTTTTGGGTTTTGCAAGCATATACTCTCTGATGAACCCAAACCTGCAAAATCAAAAGTGATATTTGTTAGTTTTTGGATTAGATAAAGCAAAACAAGTTGTGGAATGTGATAAAGTCTTATAGAGCCTAATAACATTGTTTACTTATCTAATGTCAGAATTTTAGACCACCATCTGTTGTGGCAGTTCTGTGTTTTGTTTCTTGCTAGCATATACTCTCTAATGAACCCAAACCTGCAAAATCAGAAGTGATATTTGTTAGTTTTTGGATCAGATAAAGCAAAACAAATTGTGGAATGTGATAAAGTCTTATAGAGCCTAATAACATTGGTTACTTATCTAATATAAGAATTTTAGACCACCATCTGTTGTGGCAGTTCTGTGTTTTGTTTTTTGCAAGCATATACTCTCTAATAAACCCAAACCTGCAAAATCAGAACTGATATTTGTTAGTTATATAACGTAATGATGATTAATAATTACTGTTAGCTAAAGATTTCCAGAATTATACATTATATTATAGTTGCATCTCTAATTGTATAAAGTTCACTGCAGTTTGGAGATTTCTGGGTTGCAGCTAGGATTGTGTTCATTGATGATCCAGAGTGGTACTATGCTTCATGTCGAACCAAGGGTTGCAACAAAAAGCTTAAGCTAAAAGGGAAATGGCTGTGGTGTAGTACATGTGACAGAAATTGGGGTGATGGGACACTGAGGTACAGAGTTAAGGTTAGAGTTGTGGACTTGGATGGCAATGCGCCTTTTCTTCTATGGGACAGGGAGTGCCTCGATCTAATTGGAATTCGTGCAGATGATTTGAAGGATACCGATACAAAGGTACTAATATAATTTCAACATGTCCTATACTATTAGCTTAGTACTACTAACTTTGTCATCTCATGAAATACATATATATAATTATCCAAATGAAGCATCTACCTAAGTATTCATTTAATTCTCTTTGGACCACCTATATGAAAAACATTAATATAGTATAGCTTTCATAAGTACTGAATCTCTTTTAACTAATTGAGTTATCTGCAGGGAAGAAAGGGTCTACCTAAGGAGCTTGAAACTCTAATCGACTTGAATCTGTTATTTCGAATTGCTGTGCGTAAGGAACAGTTCCAAAACTATCTCAATGCTTTCCCTGTTATGAGAATCATCACTGATGAAAAGATTGTTGAGAAGCACGCACCAGAGCTAATCCAAGTTAGGGACAGGGACCTCTCATCAAAGTTGGAGTTGGAGCTTACGGATGAGGACCTATGGGATATAGAGGTATACTGCTGATCCAGAATCATGTTATAAGAATTACTTTATAAACTAAGTATTTTACATTTACATGTTCACCATTTCTATGTGTAGGATATCGACCCAGCAAATGAAGCTGAAAGCCCTCTCCAAGTTGTTGCACAGAGACTGAACGAAGATAACAGTATTGAGAATGGAACCGTGAAGAGATCGCTAATTGATGAGTTTTCAAGCACACAAAGTTCGAAGAAAAGCAAGGACAGTGTTGTGAAGATTGAGAAAGAAACAGATTTGTAATGAATTAAATGTCTGACAATGTGCTCTTTTGGTTTTTTGATTTTGTTTTGAATGATGGTTTTTGTTGACAGTATTGTGTTTTGGGAACATCAGCTGGACTGAACTTTTTTGCATAATGTATGGTTTTGTTGGTTTAGTACCAAACATGAGAAACCCTCTAGATTTGTTGTATTCCTATTACCGATTTTTTTTGGCAGGAATTGATGGCAAAACAATAGAAAGATTGCAGAGATCATGGTAAAAGAATTCAAAGGCTTGCAGACATGGTGGGAAAATGTCAATCAGTTGGCAGGCATATTCCTAAAGACCAGACTGATGGCACACAAATCAAGAAGTAGCTGAAATCAGCATTCTCGAGGACCATCCAATGGTTTATGTTAGCATGTAATACAGCTGACACTTTCTAATTATGTAATATTAAGGAACATTAGTGTAGGATACTCATTATGAACCTACAAGTTTAATTTTTTAAAATTTTTTGTGCTCTCAGTTTTAATGATTAAATAAGTCTACTTTTTGTTGTAATGACTATTTGTAAAACTTATAAATATTGATTTTCCCTAAGTCTATACTTTGTTAATTATTTCACTTCTACAGTTGCATACACTCACATATCTGCAAGTTGTCATCCAAAAAAATGTAACTAAATTAATAAAAACTGAATATTCAAATTAGTAGATCATCTAAGGCAGCCAAAGTTAAAGCAATGTAGAACAAGCTATTTGGTCTCTCAACAAGCTATTTGCTCTCTCAACAAGCTATTACTATATTCGTATGAGGATTAAAGCAATGTAGAACCACGTTATTTCATCTCTCAACAATTTGGCAAACTGTCTAAATTAACATGCATTCAATTATTTAGAAGAGGAATGTGTGATAAAAGCAAAAAAAAAAGTTCTATCACTTAATCAGATTACCGGACAATTAATAGTAAAAAAAAGAACAAAGGGACACGTGTATATAAAAAATAGTCTTATCACTACACAATATCAACACTAGATTAATTAAAATATATAAATCATTAGTTTTCAATGAAGTACAGTAACAGCTATCAGTGACATAAAGCTATTGTTGGAAACTAAAGTAAAAATGTGTTTCCCAGCACTCATAATTGAGGACTAAGGGACTTACCAGTTGTTGACAACAATGTACAGATGATTATCTCCTCAATGACCTTTTTATACAATGTAGATTATGTTGCATCTTACCTGCAGTTGAATCAACAACCGTTAAAGCTAAAAAACGACTTTCAGCAAATTAATTAGGATCTTACAGCTTATTAGGGACTTACCAATTGTTGACAACAATTTTGGTTAAAAGCAAGCGTCCTTAAGTAATGTTAGTTGAAGACCTTTTGATCTGTAGTTTACCTGCATTTGGGGGATTTTGAATTAACTGAATAACTGCCTTAAAGTTATTCTTAGTTACGAACAATGTAAGGAAATTATTATGCTTGACTAACATTTGAATGCGTGACCAGATTGAGCCATACAAGGGTATTAAAACTTATCTTTTAATAGTCCGAAGCAACTGTATATACAATATTCTGTACTCCAACTTTGTATCTATGAACCATCCACAAATTAATGGACATAAATACAATGTACGTGTACCAGCTTACCTGCAAGTGGAGGATTACAATTAAACAAATTAATTCATCATTAACATTAGATAGTTTAACAACACTCAAACAATATCAGCAAGTAATGTGTATCTTTATTGTAAAGCACATTAGATGGACCACAAACTTATCTTTAGGCTCCTCGAAGCATGTCTAAATACAACAGTCGCAAACAAAGATCATTATCAAATAAATCCTATCACAACCATCAGTATTTGTGGGCTTGAACCGACTACTGCCTACCTGCAAAATGACATAAAGTTTATTAGTTTATGTTAACTAAATAAGAAACCTATTTACATTCCAATAAAAATTGACAATTCCAGTTTAGTATGAATGCAATTACTAATAATATTCATCTACCTATGTTAATGGACTTCCCTGTGCATTAAGTAGCACAACTAAACCTTTCAGTATTCCAAAAGCCATTATAATGGCCAATTTCCAATGTTGTCTCCAAATATTAATTGAGTAGTTCTTTTCAACTATATAATCAACACATAGAGTTTAAACAGCTGTTTTAAACACCACCTAAACAATTCCTTATTCTAATCAATACATCTCCCTAAGAATACATGAGGAAACTTACATCTACAACCACCATTGGGTCGAAGAGGAAGCATCCCAGCAACAACCAAGGTAAATCTTAGTACACTTCTATCTTTATTATAGCTATCTGTCTTCCTATATAGATAGAGATTATAAGAAATAGTTCGGCACACTGTAAAAAAATAATTAAAAAAATATACTTATTAACCAACGAATTCTAGCTTCTCCGATGCAAATTAAAAATCATCCTAAAAATTCAACGGTTAGCAAAATTCATATGCATGTGTTGTATAATCGGATTACTTCTACATATTTAATAAGTAAACGCTATCAATAGCCCTATTTATATATACATCTGAACAGCGTAGAATAATTAGGTTAGTAATACATACCCAGTTTTGTTGTTATTTTCCAAATCGAATAGCTGAACCACCGAATCGGAAAAATGGTCACCGACCTTAATCGCACACATTTATGACCAAAAATGTCCGATCTGTATGTACCCATGAACTCCGGAGACTATAGTGTTCACCGGAGCGAACCGTGCGTTGATAGTCCAGATCAAACCTCCCATTTGTGGCTGTGACCGTACTATGAACACTCAGACGTCGAGTATGCCGAGAGCTATTTGTCAGTCGATGCTCCACACAAACATCATCTTCATTGTCAATCCATAGTACAGAGTACACGAGACTCACCAATCGAACCCTAAACCCTTACTCAGCTCTATTTTTAGAGAGACAAACCAGGTGGATTGCCGGCGAAATGAGCTCACAATGAGCGTTCAAGGGATTAGGAAAGCGACATCATTGAGACCATTCTCACTGTCATTTCCATTTTATTTATTATTATTATTATTATTATTATTATTAATATTAATATTAGTATTATTATTGAATTATTTATGTTATTAATAATTTTATTAGTCTAAAAGTTTCTGATTATTTCTATTTTTATTATGATTGTGATTATTAATATTCTGATTATTATTGTTCTTATAAATAATTGTTAGCCAAATATTAGTCTGAATCATTAATGTGATTATTATAATAACAAAATATTGGTTGTAATTATAATATTTAGTATTATTTTAAAATTTAATATTTAAAGGTTATTAGTAATAAAAACAATAAAACGGTTACGAAGATTAATATCATTTTCCTTATTTCTAAAAAACGGGACATTGCTATATAAAAACACCTATGGTTAAAAGATATATCATTATATAATATTATTATCATGACATATTATGAAAAAAATAATGTGATAATATAGTTAAATATAAAATTTGAAATATTGGATTAAAACTATCGGTATTATTATACAATACAATAGTGACATCAATTACGAACTATCATTGGATAATTACAGTATAATTTGTTATTATTGTCAAAAATTGTTCCAACGAATGATGTATGATATGTGATAGACATATGTGTTTACGTTGCAGCGAATGAGAATAGTAATATCACTGATGCAGCCTACGTGTCGCCAATTGAATCCAGCCGGAGTGCAGTCAATAGTAAACTGCTTATTGGTGTTTTCCAAAGTTCGCTAAGTACGCCATTAAGTATTGTGACAAATGGTAAGTTTGGCCTAGAACACAGTTGTATATCATGAAGTTTTCAATAATTTGTAGTTTTCTAATGTATTATTTTTATATTACCATCACCTTTATACTATTTCTACCATTTTGAGATGGTTTTTGTTGATCTCCCAAATATAATGAATGATTATATATACCAAATTCTTACTGTATTGCTTCAACCAATTTTTAACATAACATAAACATAATTAATGTTTATGTAATTTACATCCCGTGCATCGCACGGGTCAAACACTAGTAAATGTATATGTGCCTATTAATTCTTTCATCTCAATCAACTAGATTTTGTTTTAATTAAAAAAAAAAAGAGGGGGGAGGGCAGGGGATTCAACACAATAAACGATGTGATCCAATTGTGCTTTAAAAAAAATAATTTTACAATGAATCTACTTAGTATTCTTTTTTCATATGATTTACAACTTACAAAGTACGTTTTAATATATCATAATATCTGCTCTTTTTATTTTCTCTTTTTTGATTTTTTTTTTTGAATGCTACTGGCCCTATTACATTGTAGTATCTGTTCATATACTTTCTCAACCTACTGAAACACAAAGAGCCAATAACGCCTCCACTGAGGCTCGAACTCACAACCTTCTCTTTTTTGATTTAATTATTTTGTTTTTACTCTTTAAACAAATAAATAATTTTTAACCCAAGCTATATATTTTTTTTAAAGAACAAAACAAAGTTGATTAAAAATAATCACAAACACAATTAATGACATAATAATCAAATGATAATGGAAGGACATAAAATTTACTCATTTTATGTTTATAATTTATTTTGTCTTTTATCTTTTAACAAATAAAAAAATTAATTTGTTCTCTTTTTTTTCCCCTCCAAGTGGTGACTAATTTTATTTATTTTTTATTAAAATTGACTTCATTCTATTTTTAAAATCCTATATATTTTAATTATAAATTTATTGGATATAAACAACTTCAAACTTTTTCCGATAATCTATTTTCATCTATTATATGGAGTAATTTTTTTAGACAAGTTCTACTTTGTATTTTTTATTATTATTATTATTATTATTATTTATTATTTTTTTTTTTGGAAACAGAGGGGGGAACCCCAAAAAAACAAAAAACAAAAAAAACAAAAAAAAAACAAAAAAAACAAAAAAAAAACAAAAAAAAAAAAAAAAAAACAAAGCAGCAGTTAAATGTCAACAGCCGAATTGTTCATATCTCTTGCGCATTTGATACCTAAGCCTCCAGCTTCAACAGATGAGGTGATGGTGTCCCATTTCACTAAATGAAGATGACTGCCATTCTGCCCCCCATTCCAAATGAAATGCCTAATTTTCCTTTCAATCTCGTCACAAACACCTTCCAAAAGCCACATAGATTACATAGTATAAAAAAAAGGAATGAGTCATTTTCATTTTGGTCCTAGACCTATAGGGGCGTGGACAATTTTCATCATTTATAATAAAAATTGACAATTAATAGCCACACTTATGGGTCATTAGACATTTTTGGTATTCCGTCTTGAAATCCGTTGACCGTCTAATTGAAGGGCAAAGTTGTCTTTTTATGTTCTCTTCTTCTAATCCTAGACTTCTAATCTTAGACGAAGCTATACTCAATCCTGGACACGCGACGAGCTCTGCCAATTCAGAGACCACCGCGAGAACCAGATGTTTGCTCCAGCCACCATTGCACGGTTTCTCACCAAAATTCTTTTGCAATCATCTTCAGAATCGAATCAGGATTGTGTTTGCATTTAGGGATCCAATTTGTATTTCCCCCAAAATGCGAAGACTCGCATGAAACTCTGCCCTAATCGCCTCAATCGCAGGCCGATTTTTCCCAAATCGCCCTACTACAGTCAAATTCCTCCCGATTTCAGCCTTCAAATTCCATTCCACCTCTGTAAACTTGACTACCGCTCTAGATTCAATCCTCTCCTCACGATCGCAAATCGAAGGAGTATCGCAACCAGTCTGAGCAAATTTCTCTGAACATCCCCCAATTGGAGAAGCATTCTGGCCATGCAACCACGATTTTACTGGAAAACCTTCAATCGACCGCTTCTGATTAATGAACGCACCTCTGTTTCCAGATCGGAGTTTCATGCCTCCTCGCTCTCGCAACTCGGACGCGATTTCTGGAAAGAGAATACAATCCGGCAGTTGATCACTCAATAGATCGTCAATTTGATGCATTTGAGTATCGATCTGGCCTCCTGGAAGCATCGTAAATGAATCTGCCATTTTTCCGATTTTCGGCGAGTCAACCACCGTAAAAAAGTTGACCGTCTAATAGTGTACAACTTCGTTTAAGATTAGAAGACGACATCATAAAAAGACAATTTTGCCCTTCAATTAGACGGTCAACAGACGAATTTCAAGACGGAGGACCAAAAGTGTCTAATGACCAATAAGTGTGGCTATTAATTGGCAATTTTTTTTTATGGGGATGAAAACTGTCCACGCCCCTTTAAGCCTAGGACCAAAAATGGAAATGACTCAAAAGGAATACTAGAGAGAACACTTTAGGCTACCACGTGTCTTCTAGCGAATGAGAGCATCTTCGCCTTCCAGCCCTCGAGTCTACCTTTTATCCTATCCATAACTTGAGACAACAAATCTCTATTAACCCGGTTGTGGATAGCACGAACCCCATATACTTCCTAAGATTTTCAGTCTTGCATATACCAAGATCTTGGGTGATACTCTGGGCTTTCTATTCATCGACATTCTTGGAGAAGAAAACCTGTGACTTATGGAGATTCACCCTTTGCCCCGAAGCATTGTAGAAGCATTGAAGGCATTGCTTCACCACCTTGACCTGTTTTTTCGAGACTTCTACAAACAAAATACGGACGTCAGCAAAAAAGAGGTGTGAAAGTGTAGGACCGTACCTAGATCATTTGATCCCACGCCAAGTTCCTGCTTCAATGGCGTCCTTGATGATGTGACTAAGCCTCTCCATGCACAAGATAAAAATATACGGGGATATCGAGTCTCCCTATCTTATTCCCCTATTCGGCTTAATCTAGTCAAGGTGTTCCCCATTCCATATGATGGCTAATCTAGTCGTTTCAATGCAGTGCATGATCCCTTGGATCCATCTGTGTTCGAAGCCAACGGCCTTAAGAGTATCCTCGATGAAATGCCAGGAAATACGGTCATACGCTTTTTCAAGATCAATATTGATGTCCATTTGACCAACAACTCTCGTCTTCTTCTTCATGGAATGAAGAGTTCCTTAGAAGATGACTATGTTGTCCGTTATTTGTCTATCTGGAATCCAATAGTCTGATGAATGATGTCTTTAATTCTGTTAGTAATAACCTTGTATGCCACATTGCATAGGTTGATCGGACGAAAATGAGAGGGTTTGTCCGGATGATTGGTTTTGGGGACAAGGGCAACTAAGGTGTCATTAAGACCCTCAGATAATGTGCCTTTGCTCATGAAATCTTGTGTGTGTTTGACCAGAGATTTGCCCATAATGTTCCACGATTTTTGGTAAAACTCCGCGTGGAAGCCATCCGATCCCGGGGCTTGGTAAGGTTCCATATCAAAAAGCGCACCTTTGACTTCATCGATAGTACACTCTCTGTAAATGTCATTCCCAGACTCATGTCTCCGGATTGATCATGGGAAAAAGATTGGGAAGATCAATGGTTGACTTAGGCCCTTCCTCCTCAGTAAAAGGGCTGACAAAGAAGTTTCTCACCATGGTCTTTAAAAGCTCCTTATCCATAACCCGGTTACCTTCCTCATTGATCAGATTGGTGCAGTTCTTCCTCATCCTTCAGATTACATGGACTCCATAATTAGTATAATATTAATTAATTAAGAATAATATATACTCTTTAATTACCATATAGTAATCATAATAAAACGACCTCATTGGAATTAATGATAAATTTTCCTACCCATATAAAAAATTAAACATACACATATAATTGTGGGTAATTAAAGGAAAATAAACATACACATTCATAATTAAAAGAAAAATAAACGGGCTCATATTACCAACCTGTATTTAACACTTTAATCTTACTATGGTAATTAAACATAGAAATTTCCTTCATTTGATAATAGTATATTTTTGTTATTTAAAATAATATGGATTAGCCATGCTCTTCCTTTTATTTTTTGTTTAGACTTTTCCTAATATAATTTTTATATTAAATAATCAATTTCAACACTAATATACAAATCTTATAATTTAAAATAAATGTACACTTTTAAATATTATAATTGTTTATAATTTCATCATTACTTTTATTATTTAAATATATAATAAAAATATTTGTCCGTGCATCGCACGAGTAATTTACTAGTATTGCTATAAAGAAACAAACTAGTGTGGAGGGAAAATAAAACTGAAAAGGATAGCAATATTGTCAAATGAAATTAAAGTGGGTAACACTTGTGTGATACCGTCTCACTGGTCTCAATCCGTGAGACGGGTCGAATCTTTGATTAATGAGTCAAGTCTTTGATTAATGAGTCGGATCTTTGACATCATTAATCAAAGATCCGACCCGTCTCACACTAGTTTTTGTCAATTGAAGTGTAATTAAAATGATACATACATTATGGTTCACACTGCTACATAGACCGTGATCCATATTAAAATTTGCCGTGAACTAGCAATCGTTATGTTGTGGAACTGTGTCCACCTTGCAAGGTGGACACGATTCTATGTTCATAATTATTGAACTATATGTTCGTAATTATAAAGTTATATATTCATAATTTTTGAACTTCATATTGATAATTATTGAACTCTATATTCATAATTACAGAACACTATGTTCATAATTACTGAACTATATGTTCATAATTATAAAGCTATATATTCATACTTTTTGAACTTCATATTCACAATTATTGAATCTCTATTTCATAATTACAAAACTATATGTTCATAATTTTTGAGCTATATATTCATAATTATGAACAGTTTTGAAACCGTGTCCACCTTGCAAAGTGGACACAACTCCACAACATAAATTGCTCATTTTGCCGTGAATTAGGGCAATTTATATCGTGCACCAGGGCGCACATTGTATTATGCGCCCTGGTGCAAAATGACATTGTTTTGTACTTTTTTTTTTATAATTTCGCTTTCCGTGTGTAGGCTGTTAACTTCTTTAAAAAAAATTCTCATGTTTCGAAAATGTACGTAATTGTATAATAGCATGTACATAATTGTATAACAAAATACACATACTCTTTTTTGAAAAGATAATACACATAATCTAACATAAAACATAATACACATAAACTCTTAACATAATACACATAAATTCCATGTTTCAAATGTACATAATTGTATAACATAATGTATATAATGGTATAACATTATGTACATAATTATATAACATAATATATATACACTCTGTCGCGTCAACTTCCCACAGAACTTAAAAAAACGACGTTGTTTTGAGATGTGCGAAGTGCACAGTGCTATGTGGTGTACGGTATAATGATTGGTGAAGAGTTAATTCCACCAAAGGTCCATTGTCTTTGGTGGCAATTCCAAATTTAGTCCCAGACTATCGTTTTTGTAATTTTACATCGCAGAATATCATTTTTTGGACACTTTTAGTCTTTATTATGACTTTTTTTTTAAAAAATTTTTAGTAAGGGTATTTTTGTCTATTCATATTTCTCTTTTGTTATTTTTTCGGTTTCAACAGGTTTAATTCGTTTAGAACTTTAGGGAACCTCTGATTTTTAGTAACCATCTTTTTCAACTGATTTTTAGTAAAGTTCTAAACTAATTAAATTGGTTAAAACCGGAATGTGAGACTAAAAGAACTAAAAGTGTTCAAAAAATGATAATCTGAAATGTAAATGACTAAAACGATAATGTGAGACTAAATTTAGAATTGTCACAAAAAATAAGGAACATATAATGGAATTAACTCATGGGTGAACTAGATATTGGGCTGATCAGTTTCAGGTACGGATCAAACAGGGCAGAAAGTAATGGTCATTGCCGCATTGGGGAGGATATACAATCCGGCCCGGACCAATGGATACCCGAACAAGACTTTGAAACTTGAAAGTTTGATCCGAATCCGACCCGTCCCCACCCCTAACTTAACCACTGGGCAAGGAATATGTACACTATATATGTACGCACACTTGATACAACTTCATTTTCAGTTTTCACACACCGATACATATAGTTTGAAATTGGATGGAGCTCCTTCGATCGAATCTCTCCCGAGTTCGGATTCCAGAGCCTACAACTCGAATCTACAAGCATGAATGCTGCGTCTCCTTCGATACTCCGGTAATTCATACATACCGTTTGATCTAACAGTATGCATTTACTGCTTTCTTCGCTTTTGGTTCTGTGTTTATATTTGCTAGCCTATTCGTCTTTGGTTTATAGTTTGATTTTTTCATTTCCAGTTAGAACTTCTTTGCTTTTTGTTTTTGCTTTCGTTCTTGATATCGATGATTGTAATTCTTGACTTTACTTCATTTTGAGCTTGTTAGGGTTTATCAGTTACGGAGTATCAATTATGTTTGGAACGCAACTGTTAATTTTTCAAAGTTGTTTCAAAATAATGTTGCCTGTTTACTAAGTTGTAAAGCTACTGCTCTTCTGTTGTACTACTGCAAATTATTATGAACATATTTTACTCTCTAATGCTACTGATTGAAGTCATTATTTGCTACTGATCTGGTGTGATGAAGCCTGGTATATATGATGTTTTGATGGTGTTTAATTGTTACATTTTACAGAAATCTGAGGGTGGACTGTTTGTTGACATGAGCACTTTTTTAGCATTTGGAAAGGAGTATGTAGGTTGGAACTATGAAAAGACTGGAAACCCAGTTTATTTGCATATAAAGCAGACCGTGAAGGCAGTTGATGAAGATAGACCTTCCAAGAAACCAACTCTTTTGGCTATAGGTAGGTTAAGCTTGTAATGTAGATTGAGCAGTGCAGTGGTAGTAGGTTTCAAAATTCAATTACAGTGTTACTTAATTTTCTATACTTTGATGTTTGTAGATATCTATCCCTTGTGAAATTCTGGTGGCAATTATATAAGCCGCTAGGTGTAAGCCATCTATATCGTAGCATTTTGTCTTCTATTGATGTGTTAGCCAAACTTATGTATATGTGTTCCTAGATGCGCTATATGCTCATTTTTCATGATTGTAAGCATGTGCTTCTTACACATATATGAGGATGGCTTACACTAACACTATTTGGTTTGGCAATCTTGTGGTGAAGAAATAGGGTATTTATAATGTTTAATGTAATCGATCCCCTTCTTTATTTTATGATTTCTTTGATTGTTGAGGGCTGGGGGATAAAGGAGGCTGTTGGTTTAGGTGGTCCAACTGAAAACTGCTGTACTTTAGCTTTGGAATTCCTTCATTTTCTGTGACTGAATGGCTGAGGACTAAATTTCATGTGGCACAACCTTTAGTCATTGAACTTACGTGAGTAGGCACCTGAGGTCATTCCAGGAGATGAAAGTTTAAAATATGAACAGCTTCTTTTTGTTTTCTAATTCATATGGAAAATGAAAGCCTGCATCTCCGATCTTCTGTAAATTGAGAACTTATTAATGTATTATTGACTTCATGAAGGACTTTTTGCTATTTGATGGTTATAGGATCATAAACTATTGTTGCAATGCATTATATCATGCCCAGTTCAGAGGGCTGTGTTTGGCTTGGGCCAGCATTTTGTTACTTACTATATCTCAGATTTTCCCATCAAATAAGTGTTCCATTAATATTGATAGTCCATCTTGTTTGTGTGTTTGTCTTTCTAGGTCTTGAAGGTGGTTTTGATAACAATGAACCTGAGTATGATGAGAGCTATCAAATAGTCTTATTGCCAGATTATTTGACTCTTCCATTTCCTTCAGTTGAGTTGCCAGAGAAGGTGAGTATCCCCTTTTCTAATTGTTACACGTGTGGAAATGTGTCATGCAAAAAGTGTCTTGTTTTCTAGAGTGACATTTGGGTTTTGCTGCTATATAAAATTACAGATAAGGTTGGCTGTTGATGCTATTTTATTGGCTGAGAGTGCTGAGAGGAAAGAGCAAGTTGCTGCCTGGACAGCTGATAAGAAACTGACCAGTAAATATGCCATGGAACTAGTACAGCTTGACAATGGTGTTGTTGTTCCTCCATCAGGGTGGAAGTGTTCCAAATGTGATAAGACTGAAAATCTTTGGCTGAATCTAACTGATGGGACAATCCTTTGTGGTAGGAGAAATTGGGACGGAAGTGGTGGTAATGACCATGCTGTTAACCATTACAGAGAAACTGGTTATCCTCTAGCAGTCAAGCTTGGAACAATAACAGCTGATTTAGAGGGAGCAGGTAATGCGATCTTAAATCATAGAGATAACATTATAGGTTTGTTTACCCTTCTTGGGCATGTAACATTGGACAGTTGGGTGAGAAATAGTGTGAATGAGAAGTGTCCCCAAATAATGTGGCCTTGAAGCTACATGTATTGGATATTCTAAACCCAATAGGGAACACACGTTTCATTTATCTATATCTGTTTTTGAGTTAAATGTACTGCTCATGAGTTCTATATTTTGGCAGCTCAGATGTTTATTCTTATCCGGAAGACGATAGTGTCGTGGACCCACTTTTAGCACAACATCTTGCTCACTTTGGTATTGATTTTTCCTCATTACAGAAGGTCAGTACCCTTGTTGTTTGAGAAAGCTCTATATGAAATTCTAGGCGCTCAGAAAATTCTGCTTGATGTGTTGCTATATTATGTTCATGGTGTTTACAAAATCCAACTGTGAACCTATGGGTTGTGAATTTCTTTGTGTTGTCTGTTTTACTCTGCCTCCTTAAATCTTGTCTCTTAAAGCTATTGTCCATTTGCAATTTGAATCTGCTGCCATATCTTTTTTTGTACTGTGATGAGTCCAAAGTAGCTGATTGATTACTTTTTTCCTTTATCACTTTCTCTTGTAAAGACTGAAATGACAACTGCTGAAAGAGAACTTGATCAAAACTTCAACTTTGACTGGAACCGGATTCAAGAAACTGGACAGGATGTTGAACCACTTTTTGGACCAGGATATACAGGACTTGTCAATCTTGGCAACAGGTATTGCTAGTTTTGTTTAGCGTGTTTCCCTAAATTTTTATTGTAACCACAACTAAGGGGGCGTTTGGTTCAAACATTGGAATCGGAGTCATAATTTGAATTAAATACTTGGTAATTGTAATGGGTCTAAGTAGACAAAGTCTTTTTGTTTGGTAGTAAATAGGAATTGGAATCAAAATAAATAAGTAATTAAAATAAAAATAAATAAAATATTAAAATATATATTGCATATATACACACATATCAAGTTCCATATTGAATGCATGAACAATGATTTATTTATTTATTTTTCTTCATTTTTTTTTTCTATTGTTCAAAAGTAGGGGAGGGAAATGGTGATGGGCTTTATGAGTACTAAAGGATTTGAAACCAATAGTAGGACAACAAAAGTAGGCAAACAAACAATGGTAATGTCGTAATGAGTATCAAATCCAAGAGTACCAAAGTCCCCAACCAAACGCCACCTTAATTGGGACTAAGGCTTAGTTGAGCTTTCTATCAATTGTTTATACTTCTTTCATCTTTCTAATATATTTTTTAATCTTCCCTGGCAGTTGCTATTTGGCTGCAACAATGCAAGTTGTGTTCTCAACACGTTTATTTTGTACCCGGTAAGTTTTTCCCTCCAATTTAATATGCATTAGTCAGCTCCATATTTAGAATAATATTGCTCTTAATTTCTTTTAGGTACTTGTTGGAACAGAGTCTTGCTTTTCATTTTTGGATTTACCATTTTGTGTAATCTCTATTAGGTACTTTCTAGAACAGAGTCTGAAAACAGCTTTTACTATGGCTCCTGCTGATCCAACTGTAGACCTTAACATGCAGCTGTAAGTTTTAGCTTATAGTTCTATAATGAACATTCATTTCCAGGAATGTTAATTGTGGTTCCTTGTAATTGGCCTCTTTATTCCTCTGTTTAACATATATTTTTAGCACATGATTAGATTAGATCACAAAGTTCTAGAAATATTAAATATTTCATTGTTAGTTCTATGGGGCTGTCTTTGACATTTTCCCTTTATTTGTCAGTACAAAACTTGCCCATGGCTTGCTTTCTGGTAAATACTCAGTTCCGGGTACAGAGGTATGTATGGTGCACAATCATTTCCTTCAGGCATTATTCCTCTCTTTTGCTATTAACAGAATTTTAAGTTTCCGGAAAGATTATACTGCAAATACTCAAAAGTCTAGTTTAAGACCGCTAAGCTTTTTGACTTAACTTCTTTGTCCTGATAAGTAAAAGGAATAATTAAACGGTACCAAGGGTCTACCACCCAAAAATAATGGCCAGAAAAAAGAGGCACAACACAGGCCTTTACAAGTTTGAATCTATCTAAACCTCCCAACAAAAGTGAGTAGTGTGATTAGGATACTCCTCTTGTAACCCAAAGAAAAGGGTGCCACCTAACAGATATGGTAGTGAAAAAAGTGGTGCAACACAGGTCTTTACAAGTTTGAAACAATCTAAGCACTCATCAAAAGAGACTGGTTAGGATACTCCCCATGTAACCAAAGGATAAGGTAGTACCCAAAAAACATCATTTAATTTTCGAAGGTCATTTTAATTCCTTCGAAACATGGAGATAGGAGCTGCACAAATAAATCTTTCTGACTGACTGAACTGATATATTCCACTTTCTTAGCTATTTGCATATCCATATATTATCACAAAGACTTGGGACATGTTATAGAACTTCACAACAAAGCAAGTCATGCTCCAATGATGTGTTTTGACATCCTTTTACACTGTTATCTTTTTCTCATATTCCAGAAACTGGAGGGTATTCGTCCTCGTATGTTCAAGTCAGTTATTGCTGCAAGCCATCCTGATTTTTCAACTATGAGACAACAGGTATGTTCACATGCTTGGACATTTAGAACTAGTTTGAATTTTTATTTAGTAAGAATGCCGAGTTCATAGAACTGGTACCTGCCATTATATAGCATAATGAGAGTTTCTTTTAGCTGTGGATGAGCAGATGATCACAAACTTGTAGTTTTGTTGTCATTTTGTCCCTGCATTTATTCACACTTCATTTATCTTATAGTAAATTGAAAATAAGCAAGGCACTTGTTGCTTTCTATTAATTCAGTAATTACTATCAAAACATACTTATCCCTATACGTATGTGGTAAATGAATAATAATTATTTCATCCCCGTGCTTGATAATATATTGTAAGAATTGCATTCATAATGCAGTACATTTTTTGTTAATCTGTATATAAACAGTAGTTGAAATGATGTACGCTTTATGTGGTTGATTCAAATATTCAATTTCTAGTCAATATGCTTCATTGTCCTTGCAACTCTCTAGGTTTTTATATGATTTAAAAAACATTATTGCTTATTACTACTCTGTATTAGATTATTACTGTAGTTGGTTGACAATGATTTGCGTATAGGATGCTTTGGAGTTTTTCCTGCATTTTATTGATCAAGTAGAACGAATGAATTCTGGGAACTCTAAGATTGATCCTTCAAGGAGTTTCAAATTTGGTATTGAAGAACGTATACAATGTCCATCTGGTAAAGTGGCTTACAACAAAAGGAATGACTACATCCTCTCACTAAATATTCCTCTGGACAAGGCTATTAACAAAAGTGAGTGCTCTATCTTTCTTATTGCAAAATATTCCGTCTTTATTCTTATATTTCATGTTCTGGCATTTTAGAAGAGCTTGAAGAGTTTCAAAAGTCAAAGGCTGAGAAGGCTGCAGAAGGAAAGGAAATGTAAGTTCTGACAAGCATAGAATGTGTTTCCATTTTGTGTCTTTCTTACTAAACATACTGAATTCTCTCAGGCCAGCTGATGAAATTGTTCGCCCAAGGGTGCCTTTGAAGGATTGCCTAGACTGCTTTTCATCTCCAGAAGAGATTCATGATTTTTACAGCTCTGCTTTAAAGACAAGAACAACAGCAACCAAGTGAGCATTTAACTCTACTTTTTATTAAGCCTTGATTGAGTTCACTTGGGCTATCATAGCTAGTTCAAGACTGCTTCATGAATTAGTGAAGCTAATAGAAGTTAATTCAATTGCACATCATGGTGTTGTTTTGATGGTTGTCTTTGCTTGTGTTTCTCATAGAACTGCTGGGTTGACTTCCTTCCCTGATTATCTGGTCTTGCACATGCGGAAATTTGTCATGGAGGAAGGATGGGTACCTAAGAAACTAGGTATGTCTTTCTTCTGGTGCTATCTACGTCTTTAATTGGCAGGATTTAATTTTTGTTATTTTTCTGGTTTGCCTTTCTAGATGTTTATATTGATGTCCCTGACACCATAGACATAAGTGATATGCGTAGCAGGGGCCTTCAACCTGGAGAAGAGCTATTACCTGAAGGCGGTATGTTTTGCTTTTGATATTCCTGAAGTTCACTGCTAAATGAAATATTTTCCTTTGCTATCTTCTTCTGTTAATATATTCTACATCTAATCAGCTAAATAGAAAATTTTGATTCTTGCATGCGTTAACGTTAAAGAAACTTTTTCAAAGAGCATATGAAATTGTATGATGTAAAGTTAGGGTATTTTACATTGGTAATGGTGTTTTTACTATTTTGTTAACATTTGTATGATAGATCATTGGTATCTGAAATTTGCTACAATTAGTGGCAAACTCAAAATTGGTTGTTGACTTCAAAATTGGCTTATTGAGTTATTGCAAATCTGTTAGATTTTGGGTTAAAATGGGCAGAAGTAGGTTGGATTGAAGGGATTGTTTTTCCTTGTAGTTCTGTAAGCCCTCTCTTTTAGTTATCTTTATATCAAGTCGATTATTTTTCCCACATTCAAAACCATAATTCATAATTGAAGATGAGATGTGTTGGGGAATTAGGGTTTGAAATTAGTGAAATGAGGAAGAACTTGGATGTGAAGAGGAATAAAAGAAAAGGCAAAGTAAATTATATAAATACTCTTCATCCCACTATACTTCTGTCTATTTTAAACTTAAAATCTTACAAGACTAAAGAAAATTTGATATTGTGGATTAATTTTTGGAATGCTAGTGTAGTAAAGGGACCAAAAGTGAACTTTTCTCTTTTGCAATCTTTGATAGAGAATATTCAACATATTGAAGTTTAATATTTAACATTTGACATTTGTTGTTTATGTTGGATAGGTGCTGGGGATTCTGAGGAACAAAAACTTCTAGCTGATGAGGGTATTGTTACCCAACTTATGTCAATGGGATTTAGCTCTCTTCATTGTCAAAAGGCTGCTATCAATACCTCCAATACTGGAGTGGAAGCTGCAATGAACTGGTTGCTTGCTCACATGGATGATCCAGGTATTTTACTTTGAATATATAGCCATCTTAAGTTCAAGTCAGACCCGTTTTCTCATAATTGAAGTGCATTTGTATTCAATTTTCTTTGCAGACATTGATGCTCCAATTTCCCAAGTAGGAAAAAATGTTGATATTGATCAATCACAAGTTGATACATTGGTTTCCTTTGGTTTTCATGAGGACCTTGCTAGGAAGGCACTGAAAGCATCGGTATGATACACAGATTGTTTTTATTTTGTTTCCTGGTTTTGGGAAGTATACAAATACCATGACTTCAATTCTTTGTTAGGCGCTTTCCATTTGTTAAATACTTAAACATCTCCTTTTATAAATATATTATTTGACAGGGTGGTGACATTGAGAAAGCAACTGATTGGATATTTAACAATCCCGGTGCTTCCGAGACATCAGATATGGACACATCATGTAGTGATGGAACTTCAGTCGATGCTGCACTACCTGATGGTGGAGGAAGTTAGTCTATTACCCTCTTCTTTCAACCTTTGGTTATTTGTTAGTCTTATTAATATCTGAGAACCATGTTTTCCTTTTACTTGAACACAGGGTATAGGCTGATTGGACTAGTGAGCCATATTGGTACCTCAACCCAATGTGGTCATTACGTTGCTCATATCTATAAAGATGGTAGATGGGTAATTTTCAATGATGAGAAAGTTGGGGTCTCAAAGAATCCCCCCCTGGACATGGGATACCTGTACTTTTTTGAGAGACTCAGTGATTGAATGATGATGGAGGATTAGAGGTTAAACAAGTTGATAGCAGAGGGGATAGTAGAGGCCTAGAGGGTGGACATTGGTTCTGTTAATCATTGTGATACATGAAGTTAGATCAAAGTACTTAGTCACTCATTCAACTTCCATCTCAATTCAACTTCCTTGACTTTAATGGGGGGTTCAAATCCCAAAACACAAGCACTTGGCTTTATACTCTTTTGATGTTGTAAAACATATCTGAATGTTTTTTGATGAAGTAATTTTTAGAAAGTTTATTGTGTATGCAGGATTTTTTTATTTTTATTATTTTTTTTGTTTATTTTTTTTTTTTAAAAAAAATACTCCGTAATTGTTGTTATAGGGATTGCATGTGTGTATTTTAGTCTACAAGTATATGCGTCTATATTATCATGACATTTAAGTTGTAATAGAGATGGGAGTTAAGAGGGAAAATTAACTCCACTTTCCATCTCTACCCTTACTTTGGAAGAGGTCGTCTTCTTCATGTTCCCGTATTTAGCGGAGTCCGGCCCTTTGGACTTAGCTCCTGTCTCTTTTTTCCTTTATCTTTTACCTATCATCCTTTTTGTTTTGTTTTGTTTTACCTACTCAATTTGTTTTATTTGCTTGTTTGTTTGTTTTTTTTTTCTTTGCCTTTGTTTTAGCCTCTTATTTCTTGTCTTCTTTTTATTTTGTTCTTTTTAAAATTGTTATAGTTTTTTTTTTTTTTTGATCGTATTGGGAGGGAATTGTTATAGTTAGCAAGACTGCACGAGTGATCACATGAGCGTGTACTTTAGTCTGCACGTATTTAGCTTTGTACATTTTAGATGTTGTAAAATATATTTGAAATCTTTTTTTTTTGACTGAGTAATATTTTGAAAATTTATTGTGTATGCATGTTTTTAAAAAAAAAAAAAAAAATTATTTTTATATATAATTGTTATGGTTAGTAAGAATGTGATCACATGAGCGATTTTAGTTTGCAAATATTTGCATATATGATATTTAAGTTGTAAAAAGATAGAAGTAAAGAGGGAAAATTCTCTCAACTTTCCATCTACCCTCACAAGTAATTTTTAGGTAATTAGTCAAAGGAAAATAACTTTTGTTCTTTTTGTTCTCTGACATTTTTTAGCCCAAGAAAAATGGTTGCCTTTAGATTTGGAGGAGATTGTCTACTCCATATTCCCATAATTAGAGGAGTGTCTCTGGAGACTTAGCTGCCATTTTTTTTTTTTTTTTTAATAAATACCGTCTTAATTTGTTTTGTTTTATTTGTGAACTGTCCACCCTTAGAAATAATTTTTTTGTCCTCCAATCTTTTTCGACTTGAGAAGAGAGAGCTGTCTTCTCTAAATCCCTAGATTTAGAGTCAAGTCTCAGATTTGGATCTTATCTTTTTTTTTTTTTTAATATTTATTTTATTTTTTATTATTGTTTGTTTTCTCAACTTGTTCTTCGTTTCTTCTGTTTCCTTTTTGTCTTTCCTTCCCTTTCTTTGTTTCAGCCTCTAATTTCTTTTATCTTCTTTTTATTTCTATGTTTTTTTTTTTCCCTTTTGTTTCATTTAGTTCTTGAGTTGGTATATCTTTGGTTTGGCATTCCTTGTCGATTATTTTGATTTAATTATATTGGATGATTTGAGAAATTGTATTTTCATTGTTTTATTTAGGATTGATGATTAATGCAGATGGTCACGCAGTACAACCAAATGCAGTACAATTGCAAAAACTATAGCAGTACAAAAGTGGTACAATTCATTATATTGTACTACCAATTAAGTACTTAATCATGCATCTGCTTTTGCGACTATTTAATGTCACAGCCTGTGGTGAAGAACTTAAGATCCAGACATATATGAAGAAGAGTGCTTAAAGACATTATTGAGTGCAGCGTTGATGAGAATGGGAATGGGAATGGGCACGCCAATCTCCTCTCCATTATAATTCTCACCGGCACTGCACTCAACCATGTTTTAAGCTCTCCAGTGTAATACTACATCTCCTCTTATTTTCCACTATTTATTGAGATTTTAAATTTTGATTGATCTAAAAACGTATAGTGAGTCATTGTTTTTATTCATTTTTTATGAGATAAGGATCAAAAAGATCTTCCAACTTTATACCAAAGTGAAATTAAACAGTCAAAATATATAAAAAAAAATGAATTAAACCTAAACTGATTAAAAGTGTGCAATTACTATTTTTAACAAGTTACCAAAAGGTAATCAATTAATTTTGTTTGCTTGGCACATCTACATGGTATTTTATTTAGAAATTAAAAAAAAAAAAAACTTAAAAGGAAATAGTTGTTGGCTTCTCCGTATGACTTCTGTGTTACATTTGAACAGAGAAACTCGTTAGCTTCTCTTCTCCATTCATAGAGAAGCTAGCGAGCTTCTCCTTCCAAATCTGGACAAAGAAGTTCACTGGCTTCTCCATGAACGGAGAAGAGAAGCCATAGCTTCTCCGTTCATGAAGAAGCCAACGAGTTTCTCCATTCAAATTTGGGCGGAAAAGTCCGCCGGCTTCTCAACGGAGAAACCATGTCTTCTAGTCCATGGCGACAGGCTGGGCAAACTGCCAGCCTGCCAAATTGCCATGGTTTTTTTTTTTTTTTTTTTTTTTTTTTTTTTTTTTTTTTTTTTTTTTTTTTAAATATAATTAGTTTACTTTTTATAAAAATAAGCTTAAAATATTAATTGAGGTGACATGTTACGTGGAATCCTACGTGATAGGTGACTTAGAGGTAACATGTTATTATAGGCTAAATAGATTAATTGTACTATTTTAACAAATTTAAAAGTTTAATTAAAGTTTTTTTTTCTTTATTAATTCGAGTGACTAATTGTACTTTAGTATATAATTAAATGGTCTATTTCACACTCTTCCCTTCATTTATTACTTTTTTCTTTATCCATAGGCTATAAAATATATCACATTTTCATCTCATACTCATCATATTAATGCTCAATCACTCATTTTTCATTTTCCGTCAACTTCAGCCGTCCGCAATTTTCCCTTTTTTCAAGTTTTTGTTTTTGACTTCTATTTTCCGGTCATTGAAAATTTATTAAAGAGTTTATTACTGAAATGGTCCATCAACTATTACGAAATTATTAATTTAGTCTTCGATAATTTTTGTGCCCAATTAAGTCCTCGATTATTTTTTGTGCCCAATTAAGTCCTCGATTTTGAAAATGTTAACCAATTTGGTCCTCCGTTTATTTTGCCGTTAGATATATTCATTATCTCAGGACCACATTGGTAATTTTGCTATAGTCAAGGGACTATTTCAGTAATTAACTTTCGGAAAAAAATGGTGCGTGTGATGATCGTACCGAAATGATCCATTGACTATAGCAAAATTACCAATTTGATCCCGAATTAACGGATGTCTAACGGCAAAATAAACAGAGGACCAAATTGATTAACATTTTCAAAGTCGAGGACTTAATTGGGCACGAAAAATTATCAAAGACCAAATTAATAATTTTACAATAGTCGAGGGACCATTTCGGTACTCTTTTATGTCTTTATTTTTAAACGGTATTAGTTTCTGACAAACCAAGTCATTGAAGGCATTATATTTTCAAATTTGATTTTTACTTACTGACAAATTAAATTTTAATCAGAATTTTTAATATTGTTTCGTGAACTATCTGCTTTTAATCATCTACCTTCTGATAGTGAACATAATTAATAAGATATGTAACGACTTCGGACTTACTTTTAAATAAATAAATAAATGTAGCTATGTTAAGTAGAAACCATGTAGCACTTTTATTTTTATTTTTATTTATTTTGTGACACATAAATACAAAGGTAATTAAAGTTTCACCCTCAGAAGGATGAAGTTTTATAAAAAAAAATAAAAAAAATTGACTTTGACACCTATGGTTTTGACATTTGATACATTGAACTGGACGTTTGGACCTCTACTGCTTTAAATTTACGTTATCGTCGATTACAAAAGATGCAGATAGATGTTGAATTAAAATGCAACACTTAAATTGTTTTTTTTCAACGGGGTATCTCCGGTCCAATTGAGTTACTTATACAAAATTTTGAACGGCTCCCTTCTAGATTTTCCATTTCCACTTGTATCCCTTTTGATTTTAAAAATTAGATCCTTAGGCCATGGGGTGTCAGATTTCATTTTGGCCAAGGGTTGCAAATTAGTTTTGATAACTTTTGGTAGATATTAAAAAAAAAAAAACTTTTTTCTCTTTTATAAGTAATAATTTTAAATGTTGTTTTTGTGGTATGGTGGTGGTGGTGTTGTTGTTATTATATTTTGAAAGTGAGTTAAAATTTTAGCGATATAGGAAAAGTAAAGTTGAATTGCATGCAAATGTAATGATATGAAAATATATATGTTCATTAGGGGTGAAGTTTGGGAAGAATGAAAATAGGTTGATTTTTAAAATGAAAGAGTACTGCATGCATGAATGTGGATAGTTAGCCTTATGGTACTAATGCCATTTCGTTTGCAATTCTTTCCCAGGAAAATAAATAAATAATTTCTGAATAGTGTAAAAAGAGTTAATCCTAGCTTTGGTTTTCAATTATTGTGGGATTTTCATATTTAATTTTATCTTTTTAACGTAGTCACATTGCATCCATTCACTTCAATTAATGTTTTTATTTATTTACAGGGCGTTTGGTTGGAGGGATTTTAAATTCCCTTCCCACTTAATTCCCACATAATTTCAAAGGCCATTAAATTCCGTAGTTTGGTTGGAGGGAATTGCAATTCCATGGAATTGCAATTCCCCCATTTTCATGGAATTAAAATCCCATGTCCCTCCCTGGTATTTTAATTCCTGGGAAAAAAAGATAGTGATGAGTCAAAATTACTCCTTCCTTTTTTAACCTAAAATTAATGTCTAACAACAATAATGGACATTTTTGACTTTATACTACTTATTCCCTTTCAATTGCCATGTATACCAAACATTGGAATTGAAATTCCCAGTAATTCTATTCCTATCAACCAAACACTGGAATTTAAATTCCCACTTTATTCCCAGTAATTCAACTCCCATGGAATTACAATTCCTTTCCCACATAATTCCTCCCCTCCAACCAAACGCCCTGTTATTTTTATACTTAGGTAATCCTAGCTTCATCAAACTAATTCTAAGTCCATATGACCACACCCCTAGAGTCACTACATACTAAATTGTGAGTTGTACAATCAGCTCATCACTGGTCAGAACCTAGTCTCCATGCGCATACAAGGGATCCAATTCACACCTTCTATTACCCTAGATCTTTTTTTCTATTCATGTTTCCAATGGATTTTAAACCTCACACTGCTGTTTTCAATCATGACATCAGGTTAGGTGATGAACCACTACACTTAGTCTTTGGGGCAATTTAATGTTTTACTAGGTTAAAGAGTAGGACTGAATTTAGTAAAAAAAAAAAAAAAGGGAAAATGGCACTTTTTCCCCCTATGTTATATACTTATAGCACTTTTTCCCCCTCAATTATTTATGTAAGCACATTAGCCCCCTCAATTATTTTAAAAGTGGTGATTTTCCCCCCTAATATATTAAATTGACATTTCTACCCTTAAAGTAAACATTTTATTTATTTTACTTCTCCAACAAATTATTGCGTATATGTAGCGATTACCACGGTTCGGTTCGAACTGAACCAGACACTACAGCAATCGAATTAAAAGTTTTCAGTTATGATTCAGATCTAGAACCCAATATTTGGATTTCAATTTATTAAATTTAAGAATAAAAAAAAAACTGGATCATGAACCGGCGGTTCCGGATCCCATTCGCGATTTTGAACTGTCTATATTTTAAAATTTTATTTTTTATTTTAAAATAGTTTAAATTCAACAATAAATGTATTTTATTTTTTCAGTTCGGAACATGAACCGGCCATTCCAGTTCGCGATTTTAATAAACTCTAAATATCGCGTTTTGATTATAAATTGTAATTGAAATATTTTGGTTTGGTTACTATAGTATCTGGTTTGAACCAAATTATAGTAATAATTTATTGGAGAATAAAAATAAATGAAATATTTATTTTAAGGGTAAATATGTCCATTTAACATTTCAGGGGGGAAAAAGAGCCACTTAAATAATTGAGGGGGAAAAAGTGCTATAAGTATATAACATAGGGGGAAAATGTGCCATTTTTCCAAAAAAATATTATCACATTAAAAGGATATGACTAAATGTGAAAATGCGGAAGGAAACTAACAAATAGATTTTACTCTTTAAAAAAAAAAAAAAAAAAAAAAAAAGAAATGAGACACTACTCATGTAAAGGTAAAAGCTATATATGGAATGACATGCACTCATGTAAAGAAAGCTATGTATGGATTATGGAATGACACGCATTCATGTAAAGTTGTATATGAAATGACATTTGCATTATGACAAGAAAAATATACTCCGTAATTAATTAAAAACTAGACGAATAAGGGGTAAAGGGGTCAAGAAAATGAAATTAAAGTAATAGCATACAAATAATTTCTTTTCTTTTTATTAATATTTTTTTTACCATATAATTATCCAATGCAAAACTCCCATGTGCCAAATAAATTATTCAAACTCATAAATAATATGAATAATATTTTTTAATAAGAAATACTGATCACTTTTCTTATAAAAAGACAAAGGGGCTGTTTGGTAAATATACATTGACTGAATGAGTTAGTGAATTTGACTAGTTGGTAACATTAGCTGATAGCTGATTACATACAAAATGACTCTTTCAACTTACCAACTGATTTTTGAGACTAGGTGCACTAAAATGACATATTGATATACTTAATTGTAACTTTTAAAATTGAGAGACTAATTAATTGATTTCTGATATAAAGTTCGGAGATTTATTTAAATTTTCTAATATAATGTATACTGTATATAAATCTCTCACACACACACACACACACACACACACACACATATATATATATATATATATATATATATATATATATATATATATATATCCTGCACTCTCCAGCTTCCAAATTCAGCCCCATGGAAGAAGTAATGGATGGAAGTTTTGATGAAAAGAGTATGCTCCATAGCCAAGCACAAGTGTGGAAGTACATGCTCCACTTCATTGACTCCATGGCTCTAAAAGCCGCCGTCGACCTCCGGATACCTGACATCATACACTCTCACGCCGCCGCCCAACCCATCACACTCTCCCAAATCGCCGCCGCCATCCACGACTCTCCTTCCCCGGACACCGCCACCCTTTCTCGTATCCTGAGGCTACTCGTCCGCCGCAAAATCTTCACCTCCGCCGTCCGACCCAGCGACGGCGCCACCGTGTACGGCCCGACTCCGGCGTCGAGGTGGCTGGTGCGTGACGCGGAGCTGAGCATGGCCCCCATGCTGCTCTTCCAGACCCATCCTTTGTCCATGGCGCCTTTCCATTGCTTCAGTCGGTGCGTGAAGGAAGGCGGATTCGCGTTCGAGAAAGCGCATGGGAAGGGGATTTTCGAAATGGCCGCCGGCGATCCGGAGTTCAATAAGAGTTTCAACGACGGCATGGAATCTGTGACTCAGATCATTAGCAAGGCGATCGTTTCGGGTTACGGCGGAGACGGGTTTAGGTCCGTTGGGTCTCTGGTGGACGTCGGAGGCGGGACCGGAGCTGCCGTGGCGGAGATCGTGAAGGCGTTTCCTCATATCAAGGGGATTAACTTCGACTTGCCGCATGTTGTCGCGACGGCGCCGGAGTACCAAGGTGTTTCTCACGTCGGCGGTGACATGTTTGTGTCCATTCCCTCTGCTCAAGCCATCTTTATTAAGGTAACAACAAGTCAACAACTACTTAGTTTCATGTCTATTGTTTTTCTTGATTTGAGAATTGAGACACTCATTTATGAACAATCTAAATTAATTTATTTTTTGTGTTTATCAATTAAAATAATAAGGCTAATTTACTTAATGCACATACCTTTGACCGGACCCTTCATTGCTATATGATGTTACACATATTTTTTCTCTTAAAATATTGGGTGATAATAGATTTAATTCATCAATTTTAATTCTTAAGTTAATGAAGTGACACAATTGATCCTTTCATTAATAATAGGATTTGTTAAAAATTTTCCAATCTTTTCAGATATCTTAGCTAATTGAATATTTTATTAGTTTAATGAAATTGAGTGGATGGTTTACTCTTTTTAAAAAAAAAAAAAAACTTTTTTTACTTACTAAATCATAATTATTTATCCTAAAAAAAAATCATGAATTATTTTATTAGTTACGTTTAATGAAAGTGAGTGGATGGTTTACTTTTTTATTTTTTTTATAATTTTTTTTTACTTACTAAATCATGAATTATTTTATTAGTTTAATGAAAGTGAGTGGATGGTTTATTTTATTTATTTTTTTAAATTTTTATTTACTAAATCATGAAATATTTTAATATTAGTTTAATGAAAGTGATCGAGTGGATGGTTTACTTTTATTTATTTATTTATTTAATTTTTACTTACTAAATCATGAATTTGAAGTGTGATTTAGTGGAAGAAGATAAATAGGAGGTAGAATTTCAATATTAGCTTTAATTGGTCCATTAACAATTTTAAAGAATAGCAATAAACTTTAACAAAATCACTTTAATTTGCTTACAACTTATGAACTAAAAATATGACATCTATTACATATGTATGTACTAAGTGCAATTACACTTTAATTATAATTCTTATTTATTATTAAATTTAAATTTTTGTGTCTAATAGTATTGGTAATGTAGTTTTTTTTTTTTTTTAATTTTTTTTTTTAAGGGTTGTGGTTCAGCCTTTTGAAAGAATGTAGTTTTTTTTTTTTTTGAAAACTTTTTATGTAGTTTCTAAATATATAAATTTTATATACTAATACTAAATTTAATATTACGAAAACTTGAATTAAAAGTAGTTTTTTTTTTTTTTTTTTTTTAAAGAACCTAATGATTTTTCTTGTTTGTTTGTTTGTTTATTGTGATAATTTAAAGTGGGTGTTGCACGACTGGGGAGACGAAGAGTGCGTGAAGATTCTGAAGAATTGCCGGGAGGCGCTGCCGGAGAAGACCGGAAAGTTGATAATTGTGGACGCAGTTTTGAAGCCGGAGGGTGATCCCATATTTGGTGACATAAGTTATGTAACAGATCTTCTCATGCTGGCTCACAGCTCTGGAGGAAAAGAAAGGACTGAAGAAGAATGGAAGAGATTGTTAATGGAAGCAGGATTTCCAAACTATAACATCATTCAAAATATTGCTGTGGCTTCCATTATTGAGGCCTATTCTCAATAATTTTTTTTTCTTTAATTTGGTTATGTAATCTATATGTTTTACTTTGGGTGACAAGAAAAATCTACAGTTATTATTACTTAAAAGTGTGTACTAGATAAACCTCGCTTTATAATTTTAGGTGACAAATTAAAAGATTTTTATATGTGGTGCCATTTGGTCAATAAACATGTTCAAGCTGGTCAATAATGTACACTTGATTGTCTTTAATTATATTACTTTTTAAAAGTAGAAGAAGTAATTAAATTGCAAAAAATTAAAGATATTGACTAAATTGTTCAAAATCATGTAATACATGGATCTTCTATGCACTTTAACCATTTTAATTTATGTGGATTGTATAATAAGTTTGTGGACATTATATAATACTTTTGTTTTATTTAAATAATTTTTTTCAATTATTTTTCTTTAGTGTTATAATTTTTTTTATCTCGTAAAAGAGAATTAGAAACATTTAAACCAAAAATAGTATTTATTTAGACTGTTGCTTTTAGACTTAGTACTTAGATTAATGTTATTATAAAGTTGCAAACATTTATTTTTGTGACAGTTATATATAATCAATCTCTCATATATTATTTTGCATTTATATACTTTAAATTACCGATTTAAATAAACAAATTCAACATTTATTTACCTATGCATGAACATCTTCTATATAATATATAATATTACATTGATATACTTTGAAATACTTATTTAAAAGTAAGTATTGGACATTATCCTATTTTGCGCGTAGAAAAACTAGTAATCAAAATAAGTCTCAATTTGGCTGCAGATTATTATAGCACGGTAGTGGTTCACGAAGCCTATTCTTTGATTTTCTAGCCATGGCCTCCCCCACAATTATTGTTCTTAGACTTTGCTTTGTTGTCATCTTTTGCTACTATATTCAAGCTGTATTATGTTAGATTTGACTTTTTTTTTTTTTTTTTTTTTGACTCTAATAATATAATTTTCAAATCTGTCTTTATGTTTAAATGACTTCTAAATTCCATCTAAATTACACTTAATTCTTCACAAGTTATCAATCAACACCTCCAAATTAAACCTAGACACAATCAACAACCAAATAAGTATCCAAATTGACTATAAAATACATGAGTGATAAAAAAAATATTGTAAAGAAAACACAAAATATACTACACCTAGCTATCAGTTACGTTCATATATTTAGCTATGCATCTTAAGTAATTGCAGGAGCTATGAGTTTCAACCATCACCTTCGAGGGGATAGATCTAATTAATAATAGTATACCTAATTCACTTCCACTTTTCTCTTGTCAACTTAATACATTTCAAATCAAATTAATTGTGATGTTGAAAATTTTAAGAAAAAATGTTATTTTCCCCACTAAAATTATTCATTAATATTCAAATTTTGATGTTTATATTAGGTATAGGAAAATTCTATATTATATTTTTATTGGCTGCTTATAAATTAGTTGATTTGTACTATAAAAAAACAAAGACCCTAATACAATAAGGATGCATCATTAATGAATATTAGGAGTGTATAAGATTACTATTTTAAAAATAAAATTGGATAATAAAATATGAATAGGTTTGAAAAGTATTTCATTCAAACAATAAATCAATGACATTTCAAACATTTTTAAAATATATATTTGTAAACTAAACTAGTAAAAGCATGAGGCATTTTCAAGATACTGTAGTTTAGTTTTGACTTAGCTGAAATTGAATGTACTCGATCATTACCCTGCCAAACATATGGACATGCATATTGAGATTTAGAAAAGTCTTATTTGGATCATTATATGACCACTTGCAATGTTTGCATGTATACATACATCACTCTATATATTCATTAATTATATATTTATTGTTGTAAATACATTTATTTGTGACCATTATCCTAGTTTTTCTCTTCCAGGATTAGATACAATTTTCTCATGATTGTATATGTATATATATCTTGCTGTTATCGAATAAAATGGGTCCTTGCCTAAGTTCATTTTGATTTTTGTTTTTGTTTTTTTTTTTTTTTTTTTTTTTTGTTTTTTTGTTTTTTGTTTTTTTTTTTTTTTTTTTGTTATAAGCATACAAGCAGTGATTAAACAAAATTCATACGAGATTATGTAAATTCACAATGCGTTAGTTCTACCTCATTGCAGAAGAAATTTGATCATCATCTTGTTTGCAGCGTTTTCCTCAAAACTATCTGTCGATCTGATTATAATCGTTGTGCTAGGAAAAGGATAATGGTTAATACCATTCCGAGGTTATGTGATAGATGCTTATTTTGTGCGATACATGAATATATTTAATTATGTGATACATGATTAAACCTATTAAGAATCATGATTACATATTACAGAATCTCTGTATATTCTTTTCTTCCACTTAAATTTTATTTGAATAGGAAGACTTGTCCATTTATTTTTAAAGTTGAAACTAAATGAGGAATGCAATATGCTTTTAGTTCTTCCCTTGATTCTTTGGCTCTCGTTTGATTATAGAGAACTGTATAATGATTGATTCAATACATTCTTTTGTTATGCCAATTTAATGGATCTACATGGGGTAAGGTTGGAAACATTTGAAGCAAGTGGTTTATCTAAGCTGAGAGAAGTATACACTCTTTGTTCTATGAGCTGGAGCTCATTGTTTTAGAAAACCATAGCCCTTGAAGTACTTAGGAAGTATAATTTTATTTTAGTACTGACAGTTTCTTTATGTTCAAGTGGATCATAAAACTATATCGGAATCACAAGATGTTTTATTCCAAGTTGCTAAAGAACCATATGTTAATATGACCGGTCAAGTTAGCTTTTTGTGTGTCTTGTTTTACAATCCCAATGAATTCTCAATAAGTTACACACTCACAGATTATTGTTCCGTAACAACATTAATATATGTATTAGTGGATTATATTGTCAAGTTTTTTTTTTTTTTTTTTTTTTTTTTTTTTTTTTAAGACAAAAGAAGAGGATAAACTTGAATTGATTTATGTAACAATTGTTTTGTGTCACAGATTGCTCTATTATACTTTAAGGTAATGTAAACTATCATAATAGATGGCCACCAAACAAATAATATAATTTAGAGACTAAATGAGTAACATATATAATTAAGGGATTAAGTTGAATATTTTAATATAGTTGATGGACTAAAATATAATCTCCCTATTTAAAATTAAAAAAATATCACACATTCACACTCCCAAATGTTTAAAATTAAAAAATGATCTCACACGTGACTCCATAATGTGTGAATTGTTATAATATGTAGCTTCTTTCAGCATGAAAACCATGCAGATTTAAAATATTAAATAAAATATTAAAAAAAAAAAAAAGTAAAAAACATTGGGTGGAGGATGACGGCGGACATGGAATGTTAGCCGGCAATTCAATTTGGAGCGTACTGATGAAGATGGAGATGATGAATAAAAAAAAAAAATTGTTAGCTTTTCCTTGTGGTTTTATTCAATCCCAAAGTGCCTGCCTTTTACTCATCTCCAAACACGCCTTCCACTCCATCCTCTTTTCTTCCTTTCTCTTTCCTTACAGCTTCTCTGCACGCAAATCTATCTCATATAAATGCACACCCACACCTTCATTTCCTCCATTGAAAATTTGGTTAATTCGGTTCGGATTATCACGCTTTCATTTCATTTCTCTGGGCTATTAATCCTATTATATATCAATGGATCGTGGGCAAGAAAATTCTTCTTCTGCGAGCTGTAGAAGAAAGGAAACGGCGGAGAAGGGTGGTGCGGCGGCGGCGGTGAGCGAGAGAAGAGCAGCTGCGCGGCGGTTGGCGGCGGAAGATGTGAACAAGCTGGCTGACGATTTCATCAACAGTTTCAGGAGACAGCTGAGATTCGAGAGGGAAGAATCCATTAAACGTTTCCAGGAAATGATCAACCGGGGAACATGATATATAGATGCATCATCCAAGCTAATTAAGCCTATATATATATATATATATATATATATATATATATATATATATATATATGGGTTGAATAGTGCAGTTTCATCATCATCCTATGTTCATTTGCCATAATACGATGCGACGACAAATATAATCTATTGTTTGATTGATAATTTGAGAAAAAATAAATTTGTTTGTTTATTCAAAGTTTTGCAAAACTAGTATTATTATTATTTCAAACGTATGTACCGTTACGTTGGATCAGTAGATGTTTTAAATTTCACGTCTTCCTCCATCGCTTTGGTTGGTAGTATTTAGGATAAGAGATTAATCTTCGAACTCAGCATTAATAATGTGAAAATTATATTTAAAGTGGATAGATTTTTTAACTTGTGCATATTGAGTACTGACATTTGACCTTGCATGCTACTCTCATATGCTCGATCTGGTTGGGGTTGAGAGAAGAGGTGCACTAAATTATCTTTTAATTTTCTTCTGGATCCATCAATACAATACTCATTAGGCATTCATGATAGCACTAATGCATTGCAAATAGAAATGCCAGCAAAACTGATGACCAAACAAATAGTACTATCGAAGTTAAATTCATTAGTATGTAGAAAACATGTTAACTAAAAAGCCAATAGTATGTTGCATAACAAAATCATAATTCAAATTAAAGTCTTGAGCATATAATATATACATATAAATATGTAATTCAACAATCAATTTAGACTTTTAGTTGAGAAGAAACACATGTTTTAATTCTATACATTGTCAGAGACTATAACTTACGCAAGTATTACTTGAAGACCGTCAAAAGCAGCTAATTTGCATACCGAATGTCCAAATAAACTCGGTATCTCATAGGAACCCATTGGTGCCAACCGAGCACCAAAGTCAAGGCACGGCAAATTATGCTATGGAAACGTGCCCACCTTGTAAGGTGGGTACGGTTCCATATTCATAATTTCTATACTGTAGATTCATAATTATAGAACTATATGTTCATAATTTTATAAATATATGTTCATAATTACAGAGCTATATGTTCATAATTTGCGATGTTTATATTCCGAATTGTTGAACTCTGTTTTCACAAATCACAGAACTATATGTTCATGATTTGATAACTATACAATTAAGAAATTATGAATCTATAGTACAAATATTATGAATCTACTGTATAGAAATTATGAATCTACAATATAGAAATTATTAATCTACAGTATAGAAATTATGAATATGGAATCGTGCTCACCTTGCACGATTCCACAGCATAACGTTCCGTCAAGGCACTATTTGGGCTGTGTTCGGCATAAGGCGGTAGTTTTTTCTTAAAAAGTATCATTTCAATACCTATTGTCTTCGCTTGTAAGTTGTAACACAATATTTTTTTCCGTAATTTGATAATGTAGCGTAATTTTTTCTTTTTAATTATATCCATTCATTGTATCTGCTTCATTTCAATAACGTATTGTCCAAGCTTCAACAAGTGATAACATTGTAGACGTTTGGTTGGAGGATAAGCATATATAATTTATTATCTTAAAAATTCATTTTTATTTCTTTTACAATTTGTTGCTTGGAAATGGTTTCAAAATATATTAGCTGATTTGTATTTTGTTTGATAATGGATTAAGAGTGATTCCACTTCAATTTTAGCTGAAACATTTTATTTATTTATTTATTTCCACAAAAGGCGAAACCCTTGTTGCAGGAACCTCACACCCGATTTGACATGATTTATTTATTTATTTATTTATTTTTATATAACTTCATTTGTGATATGTTAAAAGATATAAAAGGAAATTTAAGGCCGAGTAACTCAAGATATTTTTTAAATAATTAGTAAAGAAATGAAGAATAACATTTTTTTTTGTTTTGTTTAAAATAAAGTATTTTTCAAATTAGAAAATGAAAAATAATGTCTTATAACTTTAGAAAAGATAATTTTTTTTTTTTTTTTTTTATGTTTATCATTTTCTTGTAATAACTAAGGATGTCAATGGGAATAGAGGGTGCATATCCATGTGGAATTTTTTTGGAATAAAATTAAACTAGTATTTCATTTGTGCGATGCACACGATATATTATATAATTATTAATATAAAATAAAATTTAAAAGTGTTAGGAATAAAGGTTTATATATTGATTTTGATTATGCTAAGTGAAATGTGTTGAAAAAATAGCTTAAAATGGCATGTTAAGTGGTTATTTTGGGGCGCAAATCAAATTTCAACTAGACGAGATTGAAAAAGGTTTGATTCAAGCCCGAGCTCGTGTGCGCCGGCACCTGCGGGCTAAGTTATGCCAACCGTGACCACGAACCGAACCCTGCACGCCAACGGTCCAAAACCCGAAAGTTCTTCTGACTGTTATGGGGATTGAATTCATTCTGTTACGGAATTAATACCCTATTAACTCCAATTTTTGAATTCTGAATTCAATTCCCAGTTACAACTAGACGAGATTGAAAAAGGCTTGATTCAAGCCCGAGCTCGTATGCGCCGGCACCTGCGGGCACGAATGTCGTCCGGAAATTGGCTGGCCTTGCGGGCTAAGTTATGCCAACCGTGATCACGAGAAGTGCAAAGGTCGAAAGTTGAGACCGAACCCTGCACGCCAACGGTCCGAAACCCGAAAGTTCTTCTGACTGTTGAACTAGAAGATGTACAAAGGGTCAGCGCCAACAAAGTTAGGAATGTCGATCCTTTTGTGGCAGAGGATGAGGATGAAGGTGGAAATTAAATGGTGACCAAGATGAAATTGCTACTACTGAGGAAGAACTTGATGCTGCCCAATTTGAATTGCTTGACCTACCGTTATTAACTTTGGTGGGAATTGATAGGCCTGAGACGATGAAATTCAGAGGTCGTGTTTTAAACATTGATGTGGTTATCAGGGTTGATAGTGGTGCCAACCCCAATTTTATTTCTAGCCATTTAATTGGCATGTTTGAACACCCATTCGAATTCACACCAAACTTTGGCATTCGCTTGGGGGATGGTCATCGGGCAAAATCGAAAGACAAGTTCTCTCAATTACGAATAAATTTGGGGCTCATAACCATGCTAGTCGATTGCTTTGGTTTTCCCTTGGGTGGTGCATATGTCATTCGGGGAGTGGTGTGGCAAGGGAAGTTGGGAAAACATATCACAGAAGCAGACCCGTTCCATAAGTTATTTATATTAGTTTATTTCCTCCTTTCTATTTTTACTTGAGTTGTTTAATTTGTTTTTTGTTACCTAATTTTGTTCTAGTTAGCGTTGCCTCAAGGTATTTAAGAGCTTGGAGGTGGAGAGAATAATCATTTGAATTTTGTGATTTGTCTAATGACATTTGGGAGAGGAAGAATTCTAAAACTCTTTAATCTTTTATTTTATTGTTTTCATTTGTTTTCTTCTGCTTAGTTGCAACCATAGGGAGATCACCATCTTCCCCCGTTCCCCCTCCACGCCCATCGAGTCTTGTACATCGCCTAGTGACGTATTCTCACAATTTCGAGCGCGCAACAAATTTGGTATCAGAGCCCGACATCATGGCAAAGCTTACTAGGACAAACTCCGCTAGATGTTCCGGCAACTCCTGGCTGGGAAGGAACCGGCAGACGGCTCCAACAGCCACGAAGCACATCATCCTCGTCCTAAAGCTGCTGCGTAACGACTACACCTCACCTCGCCGCTACCATCGTTCGCCTAGCAGCGTTTCACCAGTCTGGGGTGGCGCAAATGTGGCACTGGAGATGGAAGAACCAGCCATAACTTGGCCTCAGTTCAAGACTTGCAATTCGCGCCTGGCCTCCAAGGAAATGCGCTCGGTTAGGGGTGGGCGTAAATTTATTATTATTTTAAAAAAATTGTAATACTTTTGAATCAAAATGTAATATTTAGGGATTGAGCACTTTCTTAAAAAAGAAAGCATAATATTTATAAAAAATTGAGAGACCAAAATGATGATATGACTTCCCCTTGTTTTACACACTATCAAGTACTTAATTAGTAATCACAATTAATTTTACTAAAATTGATGTCTTTTTTATAACAATAAATTATAGATATATATAATTAAGACCGAAATAGAATCAAAATACATATTAAATAAATAAATAATTAATTAATTATTTAACTAAGTTTACAACATATATCCACTCTCTCTACCTCACCTTAGCCATGTTAGGCTCCTCTGTCTTCGTTGTCGCATAGGAATAACTCAATCCTGTGCTTGTATTTTCTTCCAAAATATTCTATCGGGTTAAATGTGGAGGCCAACTTTTTTGGGGAAGAAATCATGCCATGCAGAATGAGGATAACCATAATCAAGCTGACTAAGAATACAAGCTTGTAATCATAAGATCACGAGTTCAAATCCTAATTTTTCGATCAACTATAAACACAATTTAGATTGATTTACTAGGATTTACTAGGATCAAAAAAGCTGAATTGACTCCATGCCTACCTTCGAATTGTGGCAGTAGCCGGTAGGTTTCCCTCATCCCAAAAGAAACCATGCAGAATTCATATTTGATCAAATTAAAACACGTAATAATTTTGATATTAATTTCCGGTATTACACCCTGAGTATAAAAAATTAAATAATTCAAATACACAAATCCAAAATTTTTACAAAAAAATTAATTCAAAAACAATATATATAGTAGTACGTGTATTTAATCCTATGTATAATCAATGATATGACAGATGTTCTTTTCCCTGATTGAGTTTGGTCAATTCTTTTGTATGACACAGCGCATCATATCCTTAAACTCATTGAAATCCACAAGCCCATCGCGATTCTGATCATACGACGCTATCATCTGCTCCACTCTATCGATCTCATTGCCGCCGGTGGACTCCAGCAATCCCAGCTTGGTAAGCACGGCCTGCAGCTCCCTCGCCGATATAAATCCATTGCCATCCTCATCAAACACCCTAAAAGCCTCCTTCATATCCGCCTCCTCCTGCGCCTTGGAGATCACCGCCTCGCCGTCTCCCCCCTCGTCGGCGCCGAAGAACACGTTGTCGAGGGAGCGGTGGAGGGCCTCGAAGTCCTCGAACGTGAGGCCCACATTGCCGGCCTTGATATACGACCGGATCATGGAGTCGAGCTCGGAGAGATCGGTCTCCAGGCCGAGGAGGTTCAGCGGCTGGTTCAGCTCGTCCACCGTGATCATCCCGTCGTTGTTGCGGTCGAACATGTCGAAAATGCGGCGGAGGCGGACGGAGTTCAGGCTGGGACTCCGCAGCCGGAAGGAGGTGGAAGTGCTCATGGTTTTTTGGCCCTGAACTTCGCCGTCGGTTTCCATTTTTGATCAATGAAAAGAGAATATGAGAAACTGAGAAAGTAATGAGGAGATTAAAATGAGTTTATATCAGAGGAAAAAAGAAGTAGAAGTAGAAGTAGAGATCCCGCGCATATAACGCTGTGTTTCACTGCTTGTGATCTTACACCACCAAATATTTGATAATTACCATCCATAATAATATAACTAATATTTTCTACTATTTTTGTTTTAAATTGGTTTTTCTCCAATATCTCAATTAAAGCTTATATGGTTTTAAATTTTTTTGTTAGTAAATTAAATCTTGTTTGCTACATGGTATAGGGAATGCAAGTAGTTCTAAAATATATAAAAAAAATATTACAAAAACATTATAGTATTCATATTATATGCATTACAAATTAAACATTTATTACATACGGAGTACATAGTGTATTTATTTTATAAATTATCTCTAATCATAAGTACTAATAATGATGTTATAAAAATGAACTTTTAATATACTAAAATGAACATTTAGGTCAGATTAACGATCATCCTTACAAAGTGAACCTGTCCCCGATATAAGATTGACCATATTCAAAGAAAAATTATAAGTAACACCCAATAGCAAAAAAAAAAAAAAAAAAAAAAAAAAAAAGTTTGTAAAGACATTCACAAATCAGTTATCCTCCTTTGTTTCTGAGTTCTCTAAAGCACCCTTCAATGCTCTCCTCCTTTTCTGAAGATATATTTGGAGAAAATTTAGTGGTTTAATTTGTTTTTGGAATCAAAATTATCCGATCCTCAGCATACATTTGCACCTATGAGTCTTTCAAGAAAACATGCAGAATTCATATTTGATCAAAGCACAAACCCATAAAACTTCAACTCATAATAATTTTGATATTAATATATCATTTCCATCCCTTCCAAGGATAAAGGCTACCGAAAATATATAATAATTTAATAAAAAATATTACATACACATTATGATCATCATATATTTATTATGTAGAATATCTGTAGTCACACAAATTTTAGATAAATCTTGTTTACTACATGCTATAGGGGTGCAAATAGTTTTAAAATATATAATAATTTAATAATAATATTACACAAACATATAATATTGAGTTCATTTCATTTTTGTCCTAAATTTATAGGTGTCAGTCCACTTTTAGTCATTCTTTTTCATAACATCTCATTTGATCCTAATATTATTGTGGCATGATCATTTTTTGTCATCCATTAACTAAATCGCTGAAATACCTTACATACAAGGACATTTTGATCGTTTTTATACAAAGTGGGTTGACCCACTATATTTTTATTTTTATTTTTTTTTAAAATGTATAATTGAATACCTAAATGACCTTGATTTTATGGAATTTAAATGATTTTGTTGATGGAGGCGTAAAAAATAGTCATACCACAATAATAATACTATGACCAAAAGGAGATGTTCTGAAAATAAAGGACTAAAAGTGAAACATCACCTATAAATCTAGAACAAAAATGGAATTAACTCTTATAATATTCATATTATGTACATTACACATTGGGCATATTATTACATACTATATTTATTTTACCGAATATTTCAAATCTTATAAGTTTTGAGTTCACTAGTGCAGATCATATTCAACAAATTATATCATGAATCATGATCCATATTGTATGTGGTAGATCGTTGATATATGTTCATTTTTACTATATTGTAAGTTTATTTTTAACTAATACATTTTTTTTTTCAAAAATTCAACGACATTTCAAAAAACCACAATCCAACAACTCAGCAGAAACATAAACACAATCTAACTTTCAAACAAAACAAAACAAGACAATATTTCAAAAAAACTTCATTCAAACAAATCTTTTGAAAAAATCTTTAAAATTGGGGCAGGTCCATTTGGGGCTTTTACCGGCCTCAGTAGCACCAGCCGCGACTCTTTCCACGATCGCTTTCATTTCCCGTCGACTAAGAAATTCATCTGGGCTGTGTGAATAATCTTCTCCGCGGTTTCCATGTCTTTTACCACATAACCTTCAAACACTTTTCGAACTCGCTTAGTTTCATTTATGACTCCCTTCAAACAATTTTTCACCTCCTCTAGATCAGGATCTTCAGCCTCCGCCTCCCTGGTCAAATTTGGTCAAGAAGGGTCAACTAATACATTAAAAATGAAAATTCAGTACACTCAGAACAACCTTATTAAAAAAGAACTACTAATACACTAAAAAATTAATCTTTAGAATACTAAAATGAACATTTAGATTAGTGATTCATGGTATAAGATTGACCAAATTATATATAGTAGCCAATATCTGTAAGCAAGAAAAAAAAATGTGTGAGTAAAAAAAATGATAATTCAAATTAGACGATCAAGATAATGTTATTCTTGTAACTGCTCTTTTCGCTATTTTCTTCAAGCTTGATGAATTTATACCATTTTTTTACATGATAAGAAGTAAAAACCTAACTCAACCACCAATCCCTTGTTCTCTTAATTTTTATTGTTGAACTCAAACACACTTACCATTTTTGTTTCAAATAACAAATATGCTACCAATTCAAACCAGGCAAGTTAAAGCCTTCTATTGTGATTTAAACTCTTAAAATTTAGTTTGGTAAAAAAGGTTAAAAAGTTTATTGAGTTCTTCCAAACTTTTTATTTGAACCAACATTATTGAAAAGTAAGAAACACACACTTAAAATCTCATTATGAACATTTTCAATTGGTTTTCTCCAATATCCCAATTAAACATACTAATTTAATTTTAAAAGTTGGTTCTCTGTCTATCCCCATTAGAGCCACCAAATAACATTTTCATTTCTAATCTCAAATCAATTTCAACCATTTAAAGAAATGGAAAAAAAAAAAAAAAAAAAAAAAAAGAGAGAGAGACATTGCATGACATTTTTACAACCACTCTTCATCCTCTTGACATGAACCACAAATTAAATACACAAAATAAGCATGAATAAATTTCAGGTAAAACCAAGGTGCAGATTGCAATGAAGCAAGATAGAAGAGTTAAAATCTGAAAGTCATGTGCATAGCAAAAACTCTAATTAGCTTATCTATGGAGTTTGGGAGATAGAAAATGGGATGTTGACAAAAGATATAATGGTCGACCTCACCTTATAGTACTTGCTCATGTTAAATGCCTGTAAAACTGATCAACTTACTTTTTGTATATTTTTTCTTTTTTAAAGTTCAGACAAATTAAATGTTATAGATTTGCCAAAGACTTGTGGTCAAGCGGCATGAAGTGATTCTTCCAAATGGAAGGTCATGGGTTCAAGTATTTGTATGGACGATATTGACTCGTTGGGCTTCAGTAAGTTGAAAAGTATATATGAACAGATACTATGTAACAGGGTAATAGTACTCAAAAAAATGTTATAGATTTAAGGGAGGGGTTCCCGTGTGGTTGTGCGAAGAACGAACTTTAAGCATTAAAATGACGCACCTTAAGAACACAAACCACGCACCTAAAGTTTTAAAAATGGTTCACTTTAAGTTTTACACAACCGACGCACCTTAAGCATACAAATCACGCACCTTAAGGAGGAAAACAACGCACATTAAGAAGGAAACACACGCACCTTAAGTTTCAACAACTACTCACATTAAGCACAAACTCACACACCTTAAGCACAAAATTCACGCACTTTAATCCCAAAAATCACTCACCTTAAATTTGACTTAGATACAAAAATTACAAAATTACCACTGCGTTTTTTTTTTAAAATTAATTTTGGTAATCTTGAACATTGACTAAGCAAGATCAATAGCTCAGATTTAACCGTACAACCGCACGAGAACTTAATTCATATAGTAAATATATATATGAGTATTTCAATTTAAGCATGTTACTAGCTAAATTTAAATAATATTTTGGGTGTTGGGGTGTTTAAATATTATTATTTGAAGTGTAGTACTAATTTATTAAAATTTGTTAAATAATTGGTCAGGAAGATGAGAACAAGAATTTTTAATTAAGGATAGTTTTATTATTGATAAATTCAATTTACCAATCATATGGATATATGTATTTATAAGAATACAAAGAAGTTTGTCTACTAACCCATTGAGTCGCCGTGATTTACATCCTCTCACATGCTCTGTTGGGTCGGAGTGTGGGGGCCCTTAGATTGGGGATTCAATTTTTGGGGTAAGAATACAAAGAAGTGGTTCTGAATGACAAAAGATAAATTTACAATAATACAGAGAGAGTGAAAAAAGAATTATATTATAACTAAAACACAAAATTCTAATAATTTAGGAGCTCTTTCATTTAAAAGTGTTCTAAAGAGCCATCTTCGGTTTAACTGGGAGGCCTATAAGCAACCCCTAACTTTTTTTTGAAAAATACATGGGTGCTTCATTAGAAAAACGCTGATATAATGTCTGGTGGGTGGCTATCCCAATTGGTAAGGAATATCCCGACCGAGATAGCTTCACCACGACCGAAGAGTCTGTCTCTTTCTCCTTGTCTTTGCAGGTAACAGGTCGGGCTCCACGAGAAGAACCCGGTCGTAGACCGACCGGAGTTGCCCGAGCGACGGTGTCGACCACCGAGCGGTAGCCCTTTGGCGAAAGAGCTGACGAAGGACACGTGGCGGCTCTTTACATCGACAGGCAGGGCACCCGGGAGGATGACACGTGGTGGCTACGTGGAGGACATGCCGAACGGCTGAAATCCTGTCCCCGGCATAGCGGCTATAAATACCCACAGTAGCTACAGTGTAAGGAACTTTTGGACGATCGATAGGCTGTTGCTAGAGAATCCCGACCGCAGTCAGTCGGTACTCAGAGCAGCCAAGTAGCCTGAATCTGGAAATGAGATATGCCCTTCAATAAACAAAGGAAACTAGATGCTTCGAGCAAAATGAATTCTTGTTTTTTTTACTAAAGAGTTATGGATGGCTTGACAATTCCCAATTCGAATCGACCAATCCGATATATTTTCCACGTTATAGGAGTATGTCTATGTTTCTACTTTACGAATATGATCTTTTTTGGGCATTTCTAAT